TCTAAAACCGGGCTCAAGTAGAAAATCGAGTCTTGGGGCGGCGGGGGGTCCTGGCTGAGATCTGAGGTGAGGCTTGAGGAGGATGACTCAGTTCTCAGGCTCGGACTCACACAACTTTACCTTGAAAGTTAGATCCTTTCTTTTTAAAAATATTATGTATGTAATGGGTGTGAGTGGGTGTGGGCATGCGTTGTGTGTGACGTGGTGCGTGGGTGGGGTCAGAGGACAACTTAGTGAGGACAGTGCCCCTCCCCCACCTTGACATGTCCTGAGGACTGAACTCAGGTCTCTACCCACTGATCCATCTCACTAGCCCAAGGTTTTTCTTTTCTTTTTTTATACTCAAGATATAATTCACATATTATAAAACACACCCTATAGGTGTATTCTTTAAATTTAGTAGATGCCCCTCCCCCAGTTTTGCATTTCCTATTTAGGAAGCTAATATATATGCATAATTCGAGACTCAAATGATATGTTACATGGGTATAAAATAAGTCAAAATAATCTCAACAGAGACAAAAGAGATTGCTGTACATACATACACACGTATGTTCAAAGAGAATTAGAAAAATATATATTATTAATTATGAGAGAAAGATTCTTCTTCTTCTTTTTTTTTTTTTTTTGGTTTTTCGAGACAGGGTTTCTCTGTGTAGCCCTGGCTGTCCTGGAACTCACTCTGTAGACCAGGCTGGCCTCGAACTCAGAAATCCACCTGCCTCTGCCTCCCAAGTGCTGGGATTAAAGGCATGTGCCACCACTGCCTGGCTGAGAAAGATTCTTCTCAAGAAAAATACAAAGCCCAGAAGCTATTATAAAATCCTGATCTGGGGCTGGAGCGATGGCTCAGTGACAAAGTACTTGCCATGCAAGTTTGGAGTTTGGATTCTCCGTACACACTTAAAGATGTAACAGAAGGCCTGAAATCCTAGCTCTTGGGATGCAGAGATGAGATCACAGCAGCAGACTGGCTTGCTAGCTCGCTGAGTCAGTAAGCTCTGGGATGGAGTGAGAGACCCTGCCTTAGTGGAGAAGGTGACAGGCAGTCGAGGAGGACACCTGACATCTGCCTCTGGCTTTCACATGTATGTACACACTGGTACACGTGTGTGCCCATCCATGTGAACATGGACACACATTCATGCATCCATACACCACACACCACACACACACACACACAGGCCACACCACACACACACACACACATGCATGCATACCTCACACACACATATAAAAGAGGGAAACTTGATAATGTGATTACATAAAGTTTGAAAAGGAGAGCCCATCCTCTCAGGCTCTTCACACCTGCAGTCCTATGGTTTCTCTCTCTTAGACAAATAAATGTGACTTTTTTTTTTTCAGCTACTCTTCTGGTTGTAGTCTTAGCAAACAGGGAAATATGAATCCATACACAGAAGTTTGGAGATCGTTCTGTACCAGCCCATGTGAGGTGGCCTCACTTTCCCCGAGGGCTGAACTCTATTCCGCTGTGTGAATGCCGTGGTTTGTGCCACTAGTCACTTACAGAGGAATGCTTGGATTGTTTCCTGCCCTTGCAACTGCAAACAGCCCTGCAACAAACACACGAGAATTCACCTTCAATCCAAAATTTGCTTTCTCTTCTTTTCTTTGTTTTGTTTTTCGAGACAGGGTTTCACTGTAGCTCCGGGTGTCCTGGAACTCACTCTGTAGACTAGGCTGGCCCGGAACTCACAGAGATCTACCTGCCTCTGCCTCCCAAGTGCTGGAATTAAAGGTGTCTGTCCCCCTTTCACTCCCCTTCCCGTCACCTTTAGCCCTTAATTGATTTTAATTGCTAGCAACTTGTTAAGTCCCCCAAGCTTTCTAGCCAGACATAGCAACCATCCCAGCTCCCAAGAGGAATGAAGAGAAGTCCCAGCAACAATGACCTGATGCCCTGAAACAGCTGGTTAACACTGGGCCCGTGCTGTAGGTCATCCGTGGAGCTCTGGTGAGTGGGTTCCACAAGCTCATAGAAGCCTGTAGCCTGGGTGAGACCCAAGGGCAGAGAGGCCCGAGTGTGAACCCCTGGGAGAATGGCATTTGCTGGAACAGTAAGGTAAGGAATGAGAATATGATCAAGATGAGCTGTGCTGTCCTTTAGTGGACACCTCGGCCACAGTGGGGTAATTGTCCTTTAGTGGACACCTCGGCCACAGTGGGGTAATTGCTCCTTTTTTCTTCCTTTTCTGAGACTGAGGCTTTCCTTGTATCCAGACTGTCTTAGAGTTTAGAGTTTGCTCTCTTTGTTCAAGCTGGCTTCCCACGAATGATCTTCCTGCAGGCTTCCAAGTGCTGTGATGATAGGTTTGCACCGTCGTGCCTGTATCATGTAGGCTTGCGATACTTAGATTTATCTTAATCCGTCCTGTTTATAGAAGAAGATTGAACACCTGGTGGAGAGGGATACGTAGTAGGAGATAGTAGTTCATTTAAATGCTATTGTATTACTCAGTATGGTGAAATGATTACCTCACGCTATCCTATCACGACAGGCTGGGGGCTCTTAGCACACACTTACTCCTGATTGGAAAGGTGGGTTTAAGTGACTATTTTTTTTCTTGTTGTTCTATTATGTTCCATCTTTGTCCCCCCCCCCCCCCCGCCTTCACCCCCTCCCCTGTCCTGCTCTCTCTCTATCCTTCTTCCTAGTAAGCTTGACTATTTGAATTCTTCATGTAAATGAACGTGGTAGGAGAACCCATTGCTGTGTACCTCCTGGGAAGATCATGGGGGCTGGAAGTTAGGAAATAACTGTCTGGGGCTAAGCAAGAAAGGTTCTTCAAACGGATACCCAGGGGATAACCGAAGGGGATCCGTGGAGCAGGTTTTAAACTGCAGTTCGCTCACCTAGGATTACAGATGAAAGCTTTGTGCTTGGGTTGCCTGTAGTTGATGTGCGGTTGAGAGAGGGCACTGCCCATGTGGAGGAGAGTACCTTGCTCTAAAGCCACGGTCTGCTGCATGCCCTCTCTTTGCCCCTACCCTTCCTTGACCTTCGAGCTGAAGGCCAGCAAGAGGCTTGCCAAGAAGTCACCAATATGGGTCTTTGTCTTCTCCTGCATGTGCTCTGGGGTACCTCAGGAGCCACCAGCCACGCCTCTTGTCTTGCATTAGAGGAGGCGGGGCCTCAGGATTTCTTCAACCACCTCACTGAGGAGGTGCTAAGGGATGGCATTTAGGATCTGATGTTTCTAGTCGTGGAGAAGAAAACTGGTCACAGCCGTAGCAGCGGTAACTCTGCACTGTGTGACTTATAAGGTGCTCTCTCTCCCTGTCTTCATCTTCCTCTCACAGCACATTCATTTAGGGAGAGCACGGGGTGTTGAAGGAAGGAAGGACCAGCAGCACTAGGGATCCAAGCACGAGGAAAGTTCAAATGTCCACTCTACATCTGCATTCTTCCAGGGGACAGTGGGACACACCATCCAAGAGCAGTTAAGCATTAGGTAATTCAGTGTTCAAGACTAGTTAACTCTCTCAGGGTCAAGGGAGAGTGAAAAGTCAGAGAAGGCCTTGCTTACACCCTGCAGGGCGTGTGTGTTATATGACTGCCGTGGGGTTAATGAAGGAGAGGTTTACCAGGCGGTGGTGGTGGTGCATGCCTTTAATCCCAGAGGCAGGAGGATCTCTGAGCTCCTACAGATGGAGTTCCAGGATGGCCAGGGCTACACAGTGAAACTCTTGTCTTGATAAAACCAAAACAACAACACAACACCCCCCGCCCTTCACAAAAATGAAGGTGGGGCTGCCTGAACCTCCGGAGAATCTAAAAGCAAGTTGGCAGCCACTACGTGGCAAAGGGAGCCAGGGCCGTGTAAAGACAGGGAACGGCTCAGCCAGGCCTGGAGGTACAACAGGTCTGCTTGGGAGTGAATTGCAAGTGGCAGAGAGAGACTGCTGAGAACTGGTGGGAGAGAGCGGTTAGGTTGTGAGCTCGAACAGGCGCTTGCTGTATGTGCAAGCAAAGAGGTCTGGAGCACTCTGGAGACGGTGGGGAGCACCTAGCACTAGATGTGTCTGTGTGTGTGTGTGTGTGTGTGTGTGTGTGTGTGTGTGCCTAGAGGTGTGGGAGTGATGGGTGTTTCCTTTCCAAAGCTCACTCAGACTGCAGCACGGAGATTAATTGGAGGTTGAGGAAGAGACCCAAAGGGCCATAGTGAGAAGGTGTTACAGTCCTTGAAAGAGGGAGGAAGGTAGAAGCTGGCTAAGGAGACGTCAGGAGTTGGCTTGAAGTACCCACTGAATGCTCAGTGCAAAACAGTCATAAGGTGAGCTCAGATTTCTGCACAAGACACGGAAGGAAGAGGAGGTTTTAGGGGGAAATGGAGTCTGAGTTCAGCCATACTGACGGGTAGGAACCTCTGGGACATCTGAGAGAGACGTCCAGTGGGCAAATCAACTGGTCTGTGGCACGAAACCCCCAAAGAACTGTTTGTGGGGTTTGGCTCTCCCAGCTCAGTAGCCCATCTGATTTCCTCGTGGCTACTCCAAAGACACACCATTTAAGCAAGAAGGATAGCTGCAACCCAAGCCTGACCACCTCTCTGGCCTCTTTGGTCTGTTAACCGTTCTGAAGCAGATTTTTTTTTTTGGGGGGAGGGGGGAGATCACCAGTACATAGAAAGCTGTGGGAGCTCACAGAGAAAATGACGTCACGCGAGGAGGAAGTGGGGAGGTCACTGGCTAAGGGCTGTGGCTGAAGGGTTAACAACTGAGACTGAGAAGGCAGCGAGACGAGGAAGCGGTCAGGAAAGCCGGAGTTGGAGACGCTAAGGACAGGGACTCCGATTCAACGATACTAAAAAAAAATTATGCTGCATTGCACTTTATGAGAGTTCTCCATTAGACTTTCTTAAATTGGGTTAAGGTAGATCCGCCATTGATCCTCGTCAGGAAGTCAAGACAGAGCGTTGGAAAGACAGATTGGTTAAGAAATGGAGTTGGGGAGGTATCGCTGTGGAGGCGGTGTGGGTGGGGGTGGCATCTCCTGGGATATGGCTTCCTGCAAGGTCTACAACCTAGGTTTCCTCAGCCCAAGTCCACCTTTCCCTGAGCTGGTGAGGAAGTAGAGGAGGGTCCGGGACAGCAAGGATTGCTTTTTAGTTTTGGCACATATATGTTTAATGTAGGGCATCTTCTCCATTTAAGAGCCAGAGCAGTTGCTACATCGGCGGTTCTCAGGTGGTTGTGGTCCTTTGGGATAGCTGTAGGTGTGATTAGATTCTTTACAGAGGGAGAGAGAGGCAACCCCTCATCTCTCATCCCCGTTCCTCCTCTCCTCCCTGTTGCCTTAGGCACATTAGGCAAACGTCCCATCGCTGAGCTACGTCCCCAGTTGAGCGGAGGTTTGAGTGAAGTCTTTCATGGCTCACAGGGGTCTGTGTGTAGATGGGAGATACAGGGTCTTAGGTCTGCGTGTAGAAGGTGACTTTAGCCAAACTGAAAAGAAATTTACCAGAAGGATATTAGATATGCATCGAATGTCCTGAAGGCAGGTTCAAAAATCAATCAGGATTTGTGGGAAGCTGGATAACCAGAATCAGAGCCAAGGTGATGAAGACACTGGGTGCGGATTTATTGCTGAGTTCAGGCCTGGATGGTCCCACCCCTCCAGAATGAGTTCTGAACTTCCCCCGCCTTCGGGTACCACTACTCATGCTCTGAGCCATGGCTCTCGCCCTTCCTCACGCTGTGACCCTTTGATACATTTCCTCATGCTGTGGTGACCCCCAGCCGTAAAACGATTTCATTGCTGCTTCGTAACTAAATCTGCTACTGTTAGAAATTGTATTGTAATTATCTGATATGTGACCCTGTTGGGGTCCTGACCCTCGGGATGAGAACCCCTGCTCTAGGCAAAGCTGTTCACTCAGCTCCGCTTACTTTGTGTGCTTGCTGCTGGTCCCCAGGAGCCAAGCTCAGGAGCTCCAGCTTCTTCAGTGGTGGGTGGAACTCTGCCTCCTCCTGGATCTCAATGCCAGGTGTCTGAAACAGAGAGGGGTGCACATGCTAAGTGGGGAGGTGTCCCCCGTACATTGGCGTGATCGGAAGTGCCAGAAGTGGGAGAATGAGACGAGACTTCCCTCTTGGGCTGTTAAAACATCCACCTCTTGATCATAATCTTTTTGGACGTCTTTCCAAATCTGTCCCCTTGGTCTGAGCTTCAGGAGTCCTGTGTGTTCTGGAGTGCTGAGCCTCTTGTGAGCAGTTGGGTTTTTTCTCTGATGTTGGAGCCTTTCCGGTGGGAAAGGATGAGCATCCCAGCATGTGGGCAGGCCAGCACTTCTGATTCCATTTGGAAAACTTCAGCGCTGCCCCACGGGAACATGCGCCAAGGCATGGCTGCTCTCTAGGTAACAGTTATGACTGGAATTTTGTTCCTTTTCCAAAGGCTGCAGGAGACTCTCAGGATCACGAGGTATTTGGGAGGGTACCATCTTGCTTTTCAGACCAGAGGTTAGTGTTTCTTCTCTGGTTTGGGTTGGGAAACAGTTGAAGCCTCTGGTGCCCCAGTAGTGGGCACCCCTCCAGTTCTGAAGATGTCAATCTAGGTTAAGATGTTATACTCAGCCTTCCTCTCCCTGCCCCCCTGAGACAGGAGATAGGAGCTGGGGCGTTGTCTGCCTGGGACTGTAAGCATCGCCTGCCACATCCTTGGTCAACTTCCCAAAAGTTCCTGTGACCTCCAGCCTCCTTCCTGTCCTCACACCGTGCCGATGAAACAAGTGGACGTTGACCATTTGGTTCCAGTAGCCTTAGACAAATCAACTAATTTTTGTAAAAATAATAAAAAAACAAAACAAAACAAAAAACACCATTTTGAACTTACCGGTGCTTAGCTGGGGTAGGAGAGCATCAGTAGGAGTTCGGAATTTTTTTTTTCTCTCTCTCCTGATGTTGAAGCATCGGGACCCATGTAGGGTCAGGATTGCCAGGCCGGTGGGGAAGAAGCTGCACTCCTGGCCATATTTACTTTGAGTAATTTACACTGAGGTGGCCTATGCATGTCAAGATGAAGTACATTGTGTTTCGGGCAGCGTTAAAGCGGAAATGAAGTCTCAAGGGACCCGAGTTATTCTATTAAAATACAGCTCTGGTCTTGTCACCCTTCTTAACAACCCTTAGAGCTGCCCACATCCTGCAGGAGAAACCCCACCTTCCTCAGAACAGCCCCGAGGCCCTTGCTCCTTTGCACGCAGTCCTTATGGCCTTAGTTTATTCCTTCCTGTGGGAGCCAGGTCCTCGCTGCCTTGTTGCTTTAGGTCCCCTCTGCATTCGCTCATTGTTTCCTCTGTGTGGAATGTCCTCCCTGCCCTTTTCCCTCTTGGCAGATGTCCACAGAGCCAGCTAGCAGTCACCTGCTTCCACACTGCCCCCCTTTGAGCCACACTGCCTTTGAGGTTCTGGAGTCAGATGCAGGGTTATGGTTCAGGGTTCAGGGTTCAGGGTTCTCAGGGTTCAGTCTCACTGGCCTGGAATTGAGCCTGCCACACAGTAGAGGTTCCACAGAGAGGGTACTAAGGATAGCCAGAGGGGATGTGGGCGTGAAGGGGACCTGATGCTCAGGTGGTGAGGTGTGCATACCGAACTGGTTGTCTGCAGGATAGCCCCTACCCCCTCAATCTCCTTTAGCCTCTGCTGCTACCCCTTGGTACTCTCCTGTTTTCTTTGAGGCTTCCCAGATCCTGCTGAGGCAGAGATGGAGTTACAGCATACAGATCCACGCTACTGGCCTTGCCCACTGTAAGAAGGACTCAAATGAAACATTTGACCATGTGTCTGTGGCGAGGAACTGGTGTAAAGGTAGTAAGTAGACTTGCCTTTCCACCTGAGGAAGCACCAATCCTGGCTCGCCTCAGCGGCTTCACAGTTCTCCTGCACTGCAGTCGCCTGCCCTGCACAGAGAGGGAATGAGGGAGGACGAGTCAGCCCGCCGTGGAAGAGAGATAGAGTGCTTTCAGATGAGGGCCCTGTTCAGTCTGGTCACTCTTCCTGTTAGAGGGTGGGGAGACACTTGTCTTCCTGACAGTGACTTCAGGATGTACCATGAGTTCCAAAGCAGAAACTTTAGGGCCTAAACAGATTTGGAACACGTGAAGGTCTCTCCATTTGGAGAGACTGCCAACCTGCCACGCGGTTGTCTTCATGGTGCCTTGTGGTTGGAACCAGAGGTCTGTGGAGGCATTCCTTCACCAAATAGGCATCTTGGGTCTGTACGCCGCTTGGAGAGTACTGTGGGAAACATCTTTCTCACTATGGTGGCTGAGCTCAAAGCCTTGGGCAGAACTGAAATGCTTGCCTGTTAGACCAGTGCTGATTTGCATGGCTTACACCGTTCCTAGATACATTTCCAAAACCTGGAAGGACTGGTGTTTCTGATTTCTTTTAACAGTCCATCTTTGCTCTTGGCAGATTGGATTGTGTGTGGGGGGGGGATGGCCAGTGTGTGGACATTGTTTTAGCCTTTCTCTCTGTGGAACCTGCTTTTCTCTCTTTCCACCCAGCCCTCTACTGTCTAGCCCTCCATATGTCTCTTTGTCATTCTTCCTCCCCAACAAAGTGGCCGTGCCACCTCCAACATCATAGGGCATTCAGTCATAGGACATGACTCCAGGTGCCCCACCCACAGAACTGAAGAACAGGCATTTAAAAAAAATAATTCTCTCTCTTTTTAAAAAATGTTCATTGGTGTTTTGCCTGCATGTATGTCATGTGAGGGTGTCGGATCCCCTGGAACTGGAGTTACAGACTCCAGTTGTGAGCTGCCATGTAGGTGCTGGGAATTGAGCCAGGGTCCTCTGGAAGAGCAGCCAGCACTCTTAACTGCTGAGCCATCTCTTCAGCCCTGGGAAAAATATGCATTTTAAGAGTAGATACAGTGGGATGGAGAGATGGCTCAGTGAGTAAGAGCATTTGTTGTACAAGCATGCCCTGAGTTTGGATTCTAACATTCACATAAAATACTGAGTATGGCAGCATATACCTATAACCCCAGGCCTGGGCATAGGGGTGGAGGGTGGAAGATCACTGGGATGTACTGGCTGTGTGCACCTACATACACAAACCACACGTAGCAAACCACCACCACTACACCACACCACACTCATGCACACGGGTGGGAGGAGATAGCCATGTACAAAGCTCTGATATGTACAAAGGCAGCGGAAGCAGGGGCTGTGGCTGTGGTGCATGCCCTCTGGAAAACAGACAACCCCGGTAACTCACGGGGAACAGTATATATTTTTAAATGCCAAGAGAAAATGCTAATTGCCTTTCACCTATTAGAGCTACTCTTGGGAATTAATTCTAAGGAAATAGTTCTAAAAGGGAATAGAGAGCTATACACACAAAGGTATTTGTGGCAGTGTTGTTTAAAATAGCAAGAAAACTGTTAACGGCCCCAGGATTCCATGCGGCTACATAATTTATGATACCTGGATTCTGGGGAGTGTTGTACTGCAGTAATATGAAGGTGCTATTAATTCATGAGAAAATGTTGATGAATTTTAATGCCACTAAGTAAAACATAAAACCACATATGCATATACTAGTGAATGGATAACATCCCCAATGCTTGGTCATAGTGTAAGCTGACATAACACAAATGCTGGACTTAGGTGAAGAGGCCATGCTTGGAATATTTGTATATTTGATGTATACTATCTATACTTTCAAAAGATTAGGCCCCAACATCAGAGACTTTGGAAATGGGTGGGAAGGTCCGGGAGGGACTCCAAGCCTCCCATCTGTTACCACTAGCAAGGTCCAACTGCTCGGGCTTATCAGCTACGTCTGCTGCTGCCTTCTGGGGCTGGGGAATTCAGATTGTCCTGACTGTAACTTCAGTGTTAACAGCATTGGGACCCTGCCTTCTGACGCTGGGTCGCTGGGTCGAGAAACCCCAGGTGGTTCAGAGACCCAGGAGGTGGTTCACACCTGAGTTTCCAGGGAACCAGCCAGCAGGATGAGCCTGTAGCCCTTGAGGCCCTGAACCACCCACTCACTTGCGAGCCCTAGCCACAGGTGGTGAGAGCCAGCTCGCTCTTCTGCAGTTTCTAACAGGTAGCAGGGTGTGCTTTGTAGGCTGACCTCCACAGCCCAGCGTCAGCCAGGTGGGGCCCTGGTGAGGTAGTGTCTTGGGTGTGTCCATTGTAGAACGTATTTTAGTATTAGAGTTGTTTTTTAATGCTGGCCTTCTGAAACCTCCGCCTTCATCCAATCCACCTTTGGCTTATCAAAGAGGGTGTGTGAGTCCCCATATTGCCACCAGCTCACAACTTGGAGCTGTGCTCCAGCTGAGAGCCAACTTTTTTGTCTGTATCCTGAGAATGGCTCTGTCACCCTCATATTAGCTCCTTTTGTGCAGCCTTTTCTTCAAAGAGGGGAAACTTTTTTGACACACGTTATTTCTGTTTGGAGACCCTCTCTTTGCCCTTTCCTTGTGACCAGTCCAGGATTGTGACCTCAGCAGGAAATGGAGATTCACTGGCAGGGTTTGGAGTCTTGGGGTGGGTGGAGCTACAAAGCTCTGGGTGTATCTTGAGCGGGCAGGATGGAACTTGCTAGAACAAGGGCCACTGTAACAGATCTTAGAGATAGGCTTGGATATGTCCAGGCCTATCTGGGACTCCGTTACCTCAAGCATAAGAGTGCTAAAACCAAATTCCAGAACTGTCAAAGATCCGTAGTTCTTTTGCTCTGCGGTCACATTGAAATAGCACCTTCTGGCTGGAGGTTTGCCAGCGTCCAAGAGGAATTGGGAAAAGAATGTGGGTTCGGGTCTTGCCTGGATGCTCCTGAGAGATATCTCATGTCTTCCTGGACAAGCAGGTGCTCATGCATGTGTTTAGAATCAGGGTGGGGGTTGGGTGGGGGACAGGCTGTCATGTTTCCTTGGCACATGGTGGTCATTCATAGGTACTCTGACTCCATCTTCACCCAATCCTGACAGTTGACTTAGTTCTGATCACTGCTGGTGGCCGAATATTAATTTGCTGCAGAATCTAAGTAGCAGGTCTTCCTGAGCTCAGGACCCGCCCATCTCAGTTCCCTAATTTAGCGATCACGTGTGTGCCCCAGGGTTGTCAGCTGCTTGGTTCTTTTGAAGCTTCAAACACATTTCCATAGAAACAATGCTATAAATGGTTTCTGGGTTCCTAGGCTAGCCCACAAAGAGACTTGGTATCACCCCAGAAGCTGCCGAAGCAAGGCTATTAGTAAAACCGAGAGCGCACATACAGCAGTAAGTGTTAGCACTGAGACATCATGGGGTTAAATGGTGTGGGTTTATTTGGGTAACTTCATTCCTTCTGTGAGAGGTGTCTTTTAAAGTTGTCCTGATAAAGAAAGTTCTGGGGTCCTTTGGCCCCAACCCTTCCCCCTCCTTTACACATTTGCATTTCTTTGTCCTCATCTGGATGCCTGGGGCTGCTCGGGATCTTGGCCTGGGTTGGCTCAGGATCCTGTTTAGGAACACTGTCAATCTCTGTCATTTAAACTGACCTCCGCAGCCTGAAAGGACAAACATCACACAGCAACAGTTTGCACCGCTCAGACTTCTCACCTGATTGCGTCTGATGCTCCGTGGGTGTCTGTTTGCAAAGCAGCCTCTACACATTTCTTCGGGCTAATTTTGACGCTTCATGTGATTTTATCAGATTGGTGGTGCGTTGAGCCCATCCACATTTCAGCCTGTTGCTGTGTTAAGCAAAGGAGATTTCTGTTCCTGGGCTCCATAGACAGTGGCTGTGAGCATCCGATTGTTAACATCGGCGATAGTCTCTTGATCGGAATTACTTGGTCAGAGTGTTAGACTCTTGCAAGGCGAGGTCAGTTCACATTCCAGAAAGAGTTAAGCCCATTGCAGTGTAGGTACAGCTGTCTCCCCAAAGCCCTCCCGACAGCAGCTTTCTTGTCTTATTTATTTATTTTCAAGTTGACTCAGCTGTAATGGGGCCTGAATGGGGTTCTGATTTGCATATCCTAAAATTGCTGCTGAGACTTCAGTTTTCCTCCCAATGATCTGC